AGGTGTAAATCGTCCTGTCTGTTCGTTGTTACCTTTCAACAAAACCAGCCTACAGAAGGCAAGGTTAAAATAAATAAGAAATGTGTTTTCCCTAAAACAAAAGCGCATGTTTTTTTTATCCCTTCAGGAAGCTTGTTATTGAAAAGTCCTTGATTTTTTTTCAAAGGAAACTCCTTCGCAAATATACCAACAAGGGGAAACGTTTTGGGAAAAAAAGGGATTTGTACTGTGTGATTAAAGAAGTGTCTTGTTTTAGATTTTATTGTACACTGGCAGTAAACTTTAGAGTACCATGAAGTTTTTGGGGTTCTCTGGTATGTGGTTCAAACAATGAGGAACCATTTTTGGGGTAAGGGCATATTTTTTTTACGAAACGGTACACAACCCCTTTCTCATGATTTCTTGCGAGTGAACTTGACAGCGTGTGTGGCACAGTGCGGGGTAATCGCAAACAATCCCAAGGTTTTCACGCTGGCACTCGCAGATGGGTGCAACCCTTTTGCTCCCAAATGACATCATGGCATTTCGGTGCATAAAAAGGGGGGGGATTCCATTGTTGACATCATTCACAAAAACGAAAGGGGACCCATTGGCGGGGACAACAGAGGCCCAATGAACCCATTCTAAAGCCTGCAGCGTCATGGACTACAACCCAAAATGCGCTTAGGGACAAATGTGACATGCAGATTGGGTTTGCAGACTGTGTACGCAAAGTTATAAGTGGTATATCAAACTTTTTTTCCATCTTGTGATATCTCATGCAAAAATGTTTAAAAAATTTACAATTGAAGACCAAAAAAACCCCAAAAATAGGGTGAATTTTGCCGTCATAACAACAAAAATTGCAAAGTAAAAAGGGAAAACTCCTGCAAAGACCAGCCCCACAGACGTCTCTCGTATGGGGCCTGGGATCACTACCCCATCCCAACCCTCCTACTACCCCAAGAAAAATGCCAGAAGAGGTGTTATTAGTATGCAACCACAAAAGCCCACAAAACGCAGAGACACTCGTTTTATGTGTGGGGAGTTGAATGCCCCTCTCATAACCCTTTTTCAAAGAGTTCCAAAAGCTGCGCAGTTCAGGAACGTGTTAGTACGACAAGTATATATATTAGGGAAAAATAGTAATAAACTTTGTTTGTTTTGTTTGTTTGTGTAAAAAAAGTGATACACAAACTAATGGGGATAAAGTTTGTTCTGTTATTGTGTTGTAAAAAATAGTGTAAATTTAACATGCCCTTACTTTGGGTCCTCACACCCACATAAGTTACCGGGAAAAGAAAAATTTGAAAAATGCAAGAAACCTTTGAAAGAGTAAAAAAAAGAATACCGGGTGGGGCAGTCGCCGGTTTTCCCCGACGCACGTAAATTTTCTGCAAATTTGCGGCTCTAACCGGAAAACTGATGGCAAAAATTTTTTTTTAGGCTTAAACACTATAAAAAATTTTCCCTAACTTTTCAAAAAAAAAATTTTTTTTTTCGAATATTTGGCACATAGAATGACAGTTCAGAGAGGGCCTGAACAGTAAAGGGGGGTAATGTTGTGTAAAATGCTTGTAGGGATTGCGAGTGAAGCCTAATCATGTATCACTCTGAAACTCCCAGGTGTTCAGAAAAACAATGTCAAAGGGTTAATATGGTGTGATGTGGGGGAAAAAAGTAAGGCACAGTCACGGGAAATTTCATGACGTTTTAAAACCATGTTTTTGGGCCCCACGTAAAAATTACCTCCTGGAAAAAAATTTAGCCCTTTAAAGTGCCTCCGGGTACTAGACAAGCTCCGCTCACCTTCAGATTTCCAAGCAAATTGGGGGGGGAGTTGAGTTTTTTTAAATTTTTTTTGCCTCCAAAACCCATCCTCCCCCAGCCCAGGACCAGCAGTAAATTCAAATTTCAAAAAATGTACCCCAAAAACAAATGTTTCAAAAGTGCTTTGAAGGGGCCTAGACACTCAATTGACCCAAAGTTTTTTTTTTTAAAGATCACTTTGTTCCTAAATTGTAAAAACCTATAAGTAAGGTTTGGGGAGGGAGTAAAAAAAGGGACCTTGAACCTTGCTTGGAGGAAATTGGGGGAAAAAAATTTGTAGAGGAAGGGATTTTAAAGGGGGTTGGGCTAACCCCTCGGGAGCCAGCCATTTTGTGTAATCTACTGTGGGCATTGGGGAAGTCCTTGGGGTTGGAGTTGTGGGGAGGGTAAAAAAAGGTTGGTGGGGACCGTAAAGAACTAACCACTGTGAGCTGAAAGAACATCGCAACAGCAAGAGGCCACAACGGGGGAAACGCTTCAAGGAGGGGAAAAAAATTTAGGAAGTTGTCTTTTTAAATGTTTTAAGGGAAAGTTACAATTGATCAAAGGTAAAACCCTTTTAGGGGAGAAAATCACCCTGACAGCTATTGCAAGCCGTCTGGTGACTTTTACATTGAGAATGTTGTAAACCACTTTATGAAAGTTTTAAAGGGAAAACCAAGGTACAGAGTCTATGGACAAATTTTTGGTGTGACAATTTTGTGGAAAATTTTCTCCAGGAGGGGTATCAGCCCCCTTTACCCCCCTTTCAGCCCTGAGGGGCCCACCCCTCTCGGGGGGGGGGCAAGCATCTTTTTTACTGCTCAGTGATAATTGATCCAGATGCCGTACAGTATGCGACGTGGTCAAGTGACTGCCGCCCTTGCAGTTTGCAGAGTGTTTTTAATAAAAGATAGTGCATCTCTTACTTTAAAACAGACAATTAAAAAAAAATCCTGCCCCACTTTTTTACCATGGTAAAGATATGGACATTGTTTCTAAAGCTTAAGACACAAAATCAAAAAATTTGCTTTGCTTAAACGAGGAATGGCGGAAGCAAAAGTACTAGGTCATTTTTTTTTGTGCAAGGGATGAGGGATGGGTGCTGTGGGCATCTTCAGATTCTTTTTGACTTTTCTGAGAGTGACACTGACCCAGGGTAACCCCGAACGTCTGGCGTTTGTGTGAACAAAAGTATCTCATAAAAACATAAAAAACTTAAAGAAAAGTGATCAGCTTCTTTAGTATAAGTTTTTGAACAAAAAGACAAATCTTGTGGAAAAAAGTGTCCATGTGTGATTCCAGACTAGGAAAACGGGAACCAAGGGCATTCAGCTTCTATCAAGTCACCGATATCTGTCGAAGGGGTGAAGAACACCAAGCTCCCAAGAGCAAGGTAGGTTACGAAATTTTTTGTAGTAGGGGGGCGGCAGTTTCTTTAGTCGCAAGGGGTTTGTAATCAAACCATAGTCGGGGTAAGGTGCGGACTTTTTTAGTCCAAACAAGTACGTAATTTATCAGCAATCAGTGAATGAAAAATGCTGACAAAACCCCCCTAGGGGGAATTTTAACTTACAAATTATAATCTTTACAGCCCGGTTTTAGAGATGACTTCGACACTTTTCAAGACCTCTCTGCAGGGGGGCTGTGCAGGCGATGAGTTGTCTTTCTAATTTAATACAAACTCTTTAAACTTAACTGGTAATCCATTTTTCAACAGATCCCTGACACTCAAGTTGTTCCCAGCATAAAAGAAGAGGGGGAATAACCCCGGAAAAGGACTTGCACCTAAAGCCTTATGGAAGGGGATTCCCCTTTCCAAAATTAATACACTTCCACCCTCCCTCCCACTCATCACACATCACTACAAACTTCAATAAAGGTAATGTCTTTATTCTTCATTTAGACAAACATATTGTGCATGTACCTTTTTTTGTGTGTAGGGAAAAATTTTATTTCTAGAATAATAAAAAATTGACAGGGATGAAAACATTTGGGGGTATACACAGGGTTTTTGTTTTTGGTAGTACATAGGGTTTGTAATGTTGGAGGAGGCAAGACCCACAACTCACCACCCACTGCCATTATGTCACTTTCAGTGGATTATTTTGGCTAATATGTTGAAAATAATTTTCCCCAATAGAACTGTTATGAAATATGTATAAGTGGTAAAGAACAATTCTGTTATGTGAATGAAGTACAAAAAGACTACCCTCATTTTTTTACCTAAGGGGGTTAGCAAACAGAACCCTAGATTCTTCAGTAGGGAAAAGGATACATTTCCAAAACTCATTTTTAAAGTAGGTACGTTCTTAGTCAGGACACGGGCCTACAAAAAAAAGAATTTTGTTCAAATTTTTAACTCTGAAGGTTAGTCATCGAAATAACCCCTAAAGTCAGTGTGTATCGGAGACTCATTTTCCCTTGGGTTTTTTAATCTTGTACCCCAGGGTTGAACCCAAAAGTTGGCTAAAAAGTCAAGGGTCTTTTTTCCCCATTAAGTGAACAGGGCAAAAGGGGCAAAGAAACATGCCCCCTTTTCCCCCATGCGGGGATTGATCCCCTCTCTCATGAGACTGAGGATGCTACCAAACCCAAATCACTGCAGTGGCCACGCCAACACTGTTCATCAGGCCAACAGGCTTTAACTGGAAGGGTTAGACCCCGGGAAAATTCGGTAATGACATGACGTTTTTAGGGATACTGAAGCAGCAATTAAAGTCACGGATTACTAAAAAACAAACGCAATATGCCCCTTCTAATTTTTTGGGGAATGTTTCCAAATCAACTTAAAAAATTTTTGTTCCTCCCTCCAAACGCGATTGTTGGGGGAAGGAAACTAAATCTTTAACTCTTATTCCAATTACGTTAAATATTTTAAAAAATTTGGGAATTGGCCCCCCCCAGCAACAGGCAACTACCAAAACAAATTAAAACTCTCTTCTCCCTTACTCTTTCAGAACGCGATTTTAAAATTCCTAGTACAGAAGAGCTCAAGAAAAAGAAGTGGCGACTAATTTGACTGCAAACCCTTCTACCAAAGAAAGATGTTATTTAAACAGGAATACGGAAGGGGGGCAGCCATCTTAAATCAGATCCCCTGGCCCCATTTATTTCCCAAAATAATTTTCCCTTTGGGAGGGAAATTTCCCTTAAGATACAAAATGAAGTAGGGGAAACGAGAGTGTAAAATGGTGCTATAACTGGGTTACCGCATGAAGAGCAGTGAGACCATCCACATAGCTGTGCTATATCGGCCCCTTCCAAGAACAACACTTTTTGCTTTTCCCCTGCAGCACAAGCGCTAAAAAGAGCAGCCACACTGAAATTCACTTTTTGAGTCCATTTTTTTTCTAGCACTTTATTTTTATTGGGGTTTTACTCTCCTCCAACGCCTAACTGCTCGGCCCTTTTAAATGGGGCGAGGTTGACGGTTTTCAACGGCCAAGCGGCCTCGGCACACACCATGGGGCTCCACCGGTACTGGGGGGCGGTGGGCGGGGAAACCCCGGCCCAAATGTGAGCTCGTTTTCCTCACTTGCCCCCCCCCAGGGGTAGTGTCAGAGCCCCTTACCCCACCCCACCCTCCCCCCCCCTCAAAAATATAAAAGCCCCCAAACCCACCCCCCTTTCAACCCCCTATATACTCAACCTCCCTCATCCCCCCCTTCTACCTTTCACTAAATACAAGCCTTTTTTACCCACCCCTTCTTACACTCCCTGTAAATGACCGTCTCAAAAGGGCCCCCAAAGGAAATAGTCACTTTTACTTTTTTGGGGGATCCTAGGGAATTTACATATTGTTACTATGTAGATAATTTGTATAACTGTATTTATTACACGTACTAAATTTAAAATTACTAACCACCCCTTTTTAGCCCTCCCTATATACAGAGTCACCCCACTCCATTAAAAAACTGTATCACCCAAGACAAAATATTCCCATTAATTATAAACTAATTGTCAATTTTTTTTAAAAGTTTTGAACTACTTCACTTTTGTAAATCTAGTTAATCACTACAGCGACCTCACTTTAATACCATTTTGACCATAACCTGTGTCAATAAGAGTTAGAATAGTATTTGACTGCCTGAAATGCCTAGGCCACCACATACAGGCCTTTGTAATAAATAATTTAAATATCAAAAATATTTTTTTTTGTAAACCCCACATTGTAAATCAATAGCGTTTTCCTGGGAAATTTTCCTGGAGAGATTTCGGGGCAACGCCCCCGCGGCCCCCTCTGAGACCAGGTCTCATGTGATCAGGTCGATCAACTAAGCTGTTACTGTTGGAATGATATGCCCAGTTTTGGGCCATCTGCTACCCTTTAGCAAGAAGTGTCATGTCATGGCACATTAACAGAATCAGAAAATCAAGTGCAGCTTGACACAGTGCAACTCTTCCGAAGAGTTGCCATTTCTAATTTATCAAAATTCGGTTCTTGAACCATTCTCAAAAAAAAACCCGTCAGACACTCAACTTCTTGGGGTCTTTAAAACTTAGGGAAACTTCGCTTCTTTAAAAAAATTGGGGACGACCACTTCCACATTTAACAAATTGACACCCCCTATGACTCGCACCTCTCCGCCCTACGGTTTATAAGCACTTCTCCCCTCATTGCCATTCTATTCAAGATTGATGGGCGAAAACATCGACTCAAGGTTGAGGACGAATTTCCTCATTCTCCTCCTTTCTTTAAATTTTTCCTACATGGACTGATGAAGCCACTGGTGGCGAAAAGTTTTTCAATAAAGAACCGAAGAGTTGCACATTGGGCTAATTTTCATCAACGAAAAACATTTCCTTACCTTGGGCACCTAGCAGAAATGGGACCTGGGTGTTAAACCCACGCTGTGGGCCATCCCGCAGATGAGGCCAAAAACCCCTGGAAAAAAGTATATATAAGATATTATCGGGTTACCTGGGTTATTTAACTCTTCATGGGGCGGCAGGAATGACTAGACCCTGTACAAAACGAAAGAAGGGGGGTGTTTTTATTAAAATAAAGGTTTTTCAGTGCTCGGGGGGGGGGGGGGGGCTTAGCACCAGCAGCTTATGTGACTGTTGAGCAGAGTGGGGAAAAAGGGTTCCTAATGAACGTGCTATTGGGGTGTGAGAAATAATAAAGGCCAAGAGCACCCTTGGTACCCTCAATTAATAGTTTGGGTGATAGGTAGTGTCATTAATAGTCTATCTCCATCTTCTGTAAGAAAAAAATTTATGAAAGTAAGACATGACCCTGATCGTAAAATTCTGGGTTCAGACCCGGATATTGTGGTCTACGCGTAAAAAAAAATTTTAATAATAAAGAGGCCCATTGAGTATTTATTATTTTCTAGAGCTGAATAGACAGTCTGGTCATGGACCAGGCGACGGGGAGGCTGACCCCCGGAACACTCTCCAGGTATCATTGGTACTTTTTCCTGGCCGCAAGCCAATTGACATAAGTTAAGAATATTTTGTTTCTTGTAAATGTATAAATTCGTTTATATATCTTTTCAAAGATTTTGATAACAAAGGCAAGTTAGAGATTGCTATATAGTTGTTACTTTCTGCTAGGCCTCCACTTTTATATACTGGAAAAGTCTGGGTTTCAAGAGATATATTTAAAAGAGTTACAGTGATAGGTGATAACACATGGACCGCTCTTTTATATAAAGTGGAATATTCCCTCTATTACCTGCCTTGTTTTTGAGTACTTTTATTATTGAAGTTTCCTTCATGAGTTGTCGGAGACATGTAGAAGGAGTCTTCATAATTCTCACTGAGTTTAATAAACTAAGCAACGGAGTTTGGGATTTTGCTGGCAAAGTTAATCCTCTTTAATTATTCGAACCTGTTTGAATAATACAGTTGTTTAGATTTCTTTATAATCATAGTAAGTGTTGATGTATACCTTTTTGCTAATTCTGTGGGAATTAAGCCCATAAATAACAAAAAGGCACAATACCGTGACTGGAACGATACACAAATAACCCGCACATAAAAGAGAGAAGCTTACGACGACGTTTCAGTCCGACTTGGACCTTGACAAAGTCACACTGTGTGACTTGTCAATGGTCCAAGTCGACTGAAACTCGTACGTAAGCTTCTCTCTTTTACATGTGCGGGTTATTTGTGTAAATGCCATTTTATTGCTTGTCAAAGGTGTTTCTTGTCAATAGATCTGAGGATACTGTTATCTACCAGGGCTAGTCCCCTGATGTGCCCTGTTTAGTTTTTAAGGGACAATTTTTTGTTATAGGAATACCGGGAGTATACGAAAGGGTTTGGGGGGTCAACGTCCCCGGGGGGCCGGCTGAGACCGGGCCTCGTGTGGATCGGGTCTGTTTAAACCAGGCTGTTACTGCTGGCCGTACGCAAACTGACGCACGATCCCACAGCCGGCTAGTCAGATAATGACTTTAGGTTACCCTTTTCCAGTGCTTCTTGAAGACAGCCAGGGCTCTAATCCCCCTTATGTATGCTGGGAGCATTTTGAACTGCCTGGGCCCCTGACACTATTGTCTTGTCTCTCACGCACGCGTGGCACCCCTACTTTTCATTACTCTGGAGTTTACCTTGAGAGAGTTCCGGGGTAACCGCCCCCGCGGGCCCGGTCTGTGACCAGGCCTCCTGGTGGATCAGAGCCTGATCAACCAGGCTGTTGCTGCTGGCTGCACGCAAACCCAAAACGTACGAGCCACAGCCCGGCTAAATCAGGAACTGACTTTGGGTGCTTGTCCAGTCCCAGCTTGAAGATTGCCGGGGGTCTGTTGGTAATCCCCCTTATGTGTGCTGGGAGGCAGTTGAACAGTCTCGGGCCCCTGACACTTATTGTAATGGTCTTTTAACGTGCTAGTGACACCCCTGCTTTTCATTGGGGGGATGGTGCATCGTCTGCCAAGTTTTTTTGCTTTCGTAGTGAGTGATTTGTGTGCAAGTTCGGCACTAGTCCCTCTAGGATTTTCCAGGTGTATATAAATCATGTATCTCTCCCGCATGCGTTCCAGGGAATACAGTTTTAGGAACCTCAAGCGCCCCCAGTAATTGAGGTGTTTTATCTCCGTTATGCGCGCCGTGAAAGTTCTCTGTACATTTTCTAGGTCGGCAATTTCACCTGCCTTGAAAGGTGCTGTTAGTGTGCGCAATATTCCAGCCTAGATAGAACAAGTGACCTGAAGAGTGTCATCATGGGCTTGGCCTCCAGTTTTGAAGGTTCTCTTATCCATCCTGTCATTTTTCTAGCAGTTTGCGATTGATACAATGTTATGGTCCTTGAAGGTGAGATCCCCCAACATGATCACTCCCAGGTCTTTGACGTTGGTGTTTCGCTCTATTTGTGGCCAGAATTTGTTTTGTACTCTGATGAAGATATAATTTCCCATGTTTACCATATCTGAGTAATTGAAATTTCTCATCGTTGAATTCATATTGTTTTCTGCAGCCCACTGAAAGATTTGGTTGATGCCCGCCTGGAGCCTTGCAGTGTCTGCAATGGAAGACACTGTCATGCAGATTCGGGTGTCATCTGCAAAGGAAGACCGGTGCTGTGGCTGACATCCTTGCCCTAGTCGGATATGAGGATGAGGAACAAGATGGGAGCGAGTACTGTCCCTTTGTGGAACAGAGCTTTTCACCGTAGCTGCCTCGGACTTTACTCTGTTGACTACTACTTCTGTTTTTCTGTTAGTGGGGAAATTATAGATCCATCGACCGACTTTTCCTGTTATTCCTTTAGCACGCATTTTGTGCGCTATTACGCTTGGTCACACTTGTCGAAGGCTTTTGCAAAGTCTGTATATATTACATCTGCATTCTTTTTGTCTTCTAGTGCATTTAGGACCTTGTCGTAGTGATCCAATAGTTGAGACAGACAGGAGCGACCTGTTCTAAACCCATGTTGCCCTGGTTGTGTAACTGATGGGTTTCTAGATGGGTGGTGTTTCTTGCTTCTTAGGACCCTTTCAAAGATTTTTATGATATGGGTTTGTTAGTGCATTGGTCTGTAGTTCTTTGCTGTTGCTTTACTGCCCCCTTTGTGGAGGGGGGGCTATGTCTGTTGTTTTTAGTAACTGTGGGACGCCCCCCCGTGTCCATGCTCCCTCTCCATAGGAGGGAAAAAGGCTCGTGATAGGGGCTTCTTGCAGTTCTTGATGAACACAGAGTTCCATGAGTCTGGCCCTGGGGAGTGCATGAGCATGTCATTTAACGCCTGTTCGAAGTCATTTGGCGTCAGGATAACATCGGATA